AGACCTTCTTCCAAACAGGATTTGATGCTGGTCAGGCCTGACATCCCGGCGCCAATCACGGCTACCTTCTGAACCATGCTGGAGACAAAAGATGACATGCTGGGGTTCAAGACGGTGTGTGTTTTCTACGGAAGCCCGACTGAGTTCCATGACAGTTTTTCCCACTTTCTGATGTCCTCAGTATATTTGTCCATTCCTTTATTATTCCTTTATTTGGGCCATTTGCCATAAAACAAAACCTAAACATTCCTCATGGTCTACACAGATGTTTAACAATGTCTTTCCATTTGGAAATGATTTGCGCAAAAGAGAAAGCATGACAGTGAGTGTGGTTGACGCACCACAAACATGAAAACTGTGCACTAAAGCAAACAAGAACAGTACCTTGGAAAAGATACGTAGTCCTAAAAAGAAAAAAAAGAAAAATCACAAAATTAACTCCGGTTGATTCATTCCCGTTCTCAAGAACAGCAGAAGTGAATTGTGAGGCTTCTTAGGACAGTCAAATGTACGAGTCTGTGCGTGTGTGTGCCTTGACAAAATTATCATTATTACAGACTACGCCCTCGTTTCTATTGCCACCTGGGGTTGGCAGTCTGATGAACGCTTCATTCAGAAAGACAACAATGAAGCAAAGTATAAGTTGAACAAAATCCTTTGTAGATTTCAGTTGTAATAGCAACACAATTACAAAGTGTGACACAATAACCACAGACCAGGAAATGGAAATTACGGCGAGATTGAAAAGCATCTTGATGTTCTTTTCACGTGTAATCCTGTTAACCAACAGCGTGATTGGTACAAAGGAGCATTTGTGCCCCACACAAAAGAAAACTTGACATTATTTTCTCAATAAATGCTGTGAGTTGGCGAAAAAAAATCAAGATAGTTACATTTTTTTGATTTTACAGAAAAAGTAGAATATTTTTTAGACTTTTTCTTGATCCAAAGTATCTTCAAGGAAAATCTAGCACAATTTGGAGATAAAAACAAAAAAATCCAACTATCTAGCTCACTATGATTTACTGCTGTAGCTAGCAAACACACAGTCACTCGCTTATAACACCAGTTATTTGTTTGCCTGCCAGCTAGCAAAGTAATTAGCTTGCTATCTACTTACTAACCATGATTGAAAAAAGTTGCATATTTTGTGGCTATTAAGTGGCTTTTCCCCCCTCAAATCCAGCCAGCTAACAGACACATTTGCTAGCTAGCTCCGACTGTACTTAGTTCAGACTTTTCTTAATTTTTGGAGTGGAAACCAAGCAGCCGAGTCAAAAACAAGAAAGCAGTTCAGACCGTTGCTTTATGCTCTTATTCAAAAACCCTCAAATTTTCTTTGTTTGGGTTTTTTTTTTTTAATAGCAGATGCTAACATAAATAGCAGAAAACCAACAGCAAAAAGGCTAACAATAAGCACGTGAATGAGCAGAAAAGGAGTTTGCTGTTTCTCTTTGACTTGAGTTGTCTGTCACAATGTGAAACTTGTTTTTCCACCTGACTGACAATTAATGGTAATAAGTCGAGGTTTAAACTTGCTTCAGTTGACTTCAAAAACAACTCTGATGATCATCAGTCATGTAAGAGTCATGTAACACCGTCTAAGCATGCAATGTTAGGCTGCGGGTTTTCTTGGAGGTGTGGTTTGCAGCTATACTGGCACATTAAGGAGCATACAAACAACAAATGTCCTCGGGGGGCTCCCTTCTGTTTTACAATATGAACGACATGAAACTAAGAGGTAAGGAAACAAGTTTCTCTGGCTAGAAAAATGTGTTTTTTCTGAAAACGTTCAGGCACAGTATCGAGTCCCCTCCAAAAGTAGTGGAGCGGCAAGCTCTGTTCATTTGTTTTTTCTTGTATACTGAGGACATTTGGGTTTCAGATCAAAATATGAATATGAAACAACACTTCTGAATTCCAGCTTTTAATTTGTGGTATTTAGATTTAGGCGTGTTCAACAAATCAGGAGAGGGCATCTTTTGTTTGAAGCCACCCGCGTTTGAAGTGAGCAAAAGTACTGGAACACGTGACTGATGGATATTTGTAGTTGCTCAAGTCATGCCTCTTTTAGCTTGATTGCTAAAACAGAAAATTTGGTTGTTTTAGCTTTGGGTTTCTCCTTGTGAGTTAGCTGTTAAGCCAATACAGTATGAAGATGAGAGAGAGAGCTGGATGTGAGAGAATATCAAACCATTTTGAAGCCGACAGAAGATAGTTGATCCGAGCTTTTTTCTTGTATACTGAGGACATTTGGGTTTCAGATCAAAATATGAATATGAAACAACACTTCTGAATTCCAGCTTTTAATTTGTGGTCTTTAGACTTAGACGTGTTAAACAAGTCAGGACAGGGCATCTTTTGTTTTAAGCCACCCGAGTTTGAGGTGAGCAAAAATGCTGGAACATGTGACTGATGGATGTTTGGAGTAGCTCAAGTCATGCCTCTTTTAGCTTGATTGCTAAAACAGAAAATTTGGTTGTTTTAGCTTTGGGTTTCTCCTTGTGAATTGCTGTTAAGCCAATATGAAGATGAGAGCGAGAGCTGCATGTGGGAAAATATCAAACCATTTTGAAGCCGAGAGAAGATAGTCGATATGAGCGATTGCAAAAACATCGGGCATAACCAATACAATAATTTGGAATGTTCTGAAAAAGAAAGAAGGATGATCCAAAATACACAAGATCATTTGTGAAGCATGGTGGAAGTCATGTCATGTCTTGGGCTTGCGTCGCTGCTTCTGGAATGAACGTAGAAGGCCTTAGTGTGACCTTGTCAACCACTGGATCTTAACCAAATGGAACATTCACCTCTTCAAGAGGAGACTGAAGGGAGAGACCCCAAGCAACAAACAAAAACTGAGACTGAAAGTGGTTCACATTTTTTGGGGGAAAAGTTTGGAGACGAGGTTGGGCAAGAGGGTGGGCTCTCGAATGTGCATGTAGTAGACCGCTGCCCCTCCCGCCACCAGCGTCAGGCTCAACTTGAATAGGCCGCCTGAGCTTGCCATGTTCACTTCCTCCACCTGCAGGCGATAAACAACAAGAAGAACACGTGGAGGTGTCTGCGTCAAAAGTCCTCGTTTCAGCCAACATCCAAACGTGTTCAGCGTGGATGTTTTGATTTTTTGGGGGGGCCATGGGAAGAAAAAATGTGAAGAAGACAAAGAAGAAGAAGGTGCGAAGATGAGCATCCAAAGGGAGTTACCGTCAGGTAAGCAGACTCTCGTTTTAGGCAAGAAAGGATCTATCCAAATTCTTTTCTCTCGCGTTAGTGAGCATATTTTGTGTCATTTGGAATTGAATGTTTGAATTTGGTTCATTTGAGTGAAATGAACTGAAGTTTTTGTTTGATTTAAAATTACATTTTCATGTTAATGCCATCTCAAATAATACATTTTTTTTGAAAAGGGATTTAATTTCAAATGTAATCATTTTTTTTTTCAAATTATGTTTTAATTTTATGTGAATTTTAATTTACAGTGTCATACAGTAAAGGTATCTTTTGTATTTTTAATTTTATGTGATTTAAATGTATTTTAAAGCAGTGATTTGTAACATTTTTGTTTCAAACTTAAATTTGATCATTTTTTTAAAAGATTCTTTTCAATTCAAATGAACGTAATTTTTTTTTTTGCAACTTTCAATAATTATTTGGAATGTAGATTTTTTTTTTAATTGCACTGTAATTCATTCAGAGAATTTGTATTGATCAATGACTACAAAGTACACATTTTGAAATGATGAAATGAATTAAATGTAACATTTTTTTTGGACTCTTACTGAATGCGCCAACCTCGCCACTGACCTTCCTGGTCTTCAGGGGTTGGAACATGCGCTGGAACTGGGTGAGGATGGCCTGCCGGGCGCCGTCCCACTTGCCGGGCCCCGTCAGACGGTACTGGTAGGCGGTGACGGGCCCCCACAGGACCTCCTTGAACAGCATGTAGTCGGTGAGGAGAAGCCACAGCAGGCTGGGCCTGGCTCCAATCTCGCCCGCCAGGTCGTCCATGTAGGACACAAAATCCACTTGCAGGGGGCTCAGCTTGGAGACGATGTAGCTGGAGCAAAGGTGGGATGGGGTCAGGGGGAGCCGGGGGGAGGGGGCATTGATTTGCTACACAGTACGAGCAAAATGGGTGAGCAGCTTTTACCTTTGCTCCATGCTTTTGGTGTCCTTCTCCACAGCCTTCACCATGGCCTGGCTTGAGGGCAGTTTCTTATGTCCTGAACATGAAAAGAAAAAGTCTCTTATGGCCAAAAACGTTCAGGTACGCTCAGCAAAATCTCATTGCAAAGACATACTTTATGATGCAGTGCAATAAGTTGTAATATTACAAGAGTTCTTTTCCCCTAATTTTACAAGAACAAAGTTGTATGATTGAGATTTTTATTTCAACCCAAATTGAATTCATAATCAGATTTTTTAAAAATCAAACAAATAAATCTCATAATTTTGAAATTCATGTATTTTTTTGTTTTATAAATTTGCAATATTATAACAAAAAATGTTAATATTAGGAGTAAAAAAATATAAATTTTGTGAGAATAATAAATGTCTTTTTAAATCAAGTTAAATATGATGGAAAACATAAAAAAATTAAGTTGCAACGTTATGAGAAAAAGTCGACGTATTACGAGGAGAAAACAAATCTTCATTTATTAAGAGGTATGGAAAAAGTCTTCATTTAATAACAACGATGTAAATGTAAAAATAGTACAATAAAAATATTGAGATTACATTTTCCTCTAATAGTGTCCAGATTGTGAAGGAATTAAAAAAAAAAAAGAGTCAAACAGGCCCGACCTTTTAAGACCTGCACGGCCCAACGCGCCTGCATCTCGGCCTGCGGCATGATGGCTCCGAGGGCGTGGATGAAGCCCACCACGGCCAGGGTGGGATGCTCCAAGGTGGGAGGGAACACGTGCTTGTACAGACCCACACGGTGGCCCGACTTGTACAGAGTGTTGGCGGGCAAGTACGGGAAGTCGGAGGGGTGGGGGTGTTGCTGGTGACAGATAGAGAAGCGCTGCTAACTATTTTGATCCATTTCACCATTTTAGAAAGGCTAAAATGTTGCCCACGACTGGTCTTGAGGAGATTGGCCTGAAAAATTCCAACCTTGTCTGCGACGCTGCCATCCTCAAAAAACACAGACGAGCTGCTGATCTCTGTCACATTGGGCTTGATGATCACCGCGCCCGACAGGATCTTGAAAGGTAGGTCGTCGTTGATCACCGGGATCTGACTGAAAAGCCTGGAAAGCGTGCACGGGACAACATCATGTATACATTTGGATTCCATAGAAAATTCTTGTACTCATCTGAGATGGGTAAAGTGTAAAAAGTGTGCTGTGGTCTGACGAGTCCACATTTCAAAAAGCCTTCAATTTGATTTGGTACCTGTGTTTGGGCTTGAGGGCATACATGGTGTGGTCATACATGGCGTTGAGCTTCTTCTCGCTGAACCAGTTGAAGAACCTCATGGGGAAGAGTTGGAACAGAATGTGCACGAAGCGCGTGTTGTATTTCATGTCCACCGGAATGCCATCGTCCGACACCTGGCGGATCACCCAGGCCCCGCGCCGGGTGCTCATGTACACCTGAGCGGGAGGAAAAACATGGGACCGGTTAGCGCGACAGTGGGCGAAGAGAACGGAGAAGAGGAGAACCCCCTCCAACCTGCTCGGCAAATTTCCTGCTCTCCACGGCGATGTCGCTGCCCGAGTTGCTGATGCCCACGATCACCAAACGCTTTCGATGCATTTCTTCGGGGCCCTTGTAGTCCCAGCTATGGAAGTAGCGGCCTTGGAAAGTGTCCAGTCCTGCATGCAACATTTATTTTTAACATACAAAAGTCTGAATGTTTATACAAATTAAATTGGAAGATCAAAACACTTTTTTTTTTGTTTTTTAAGAATAAAATTTTATTTTTTAAGAATAAAATTAAAAGAATAAAAGTTTTATTTTATTCTCGAAGTTTTTTGGCAGTTCACCTTCTAATATTTTCTTTATTCTGGTAAAAAAAAATAATTCTCCTAATATTCTGACAAGAGTCTCTTTTAGATTTTTTTTTCATAAACTTTTCAAAAAATTTTCATTAAATACAATTTAAAATAATAACATGAAAATAATAACATGAATTCATTGTCATCAATTAATTTTTTTCCCCAAAGCAATTGACCTATTTGTGGGTAAGAGGTCGCAAGTTGGCCTGCAAATAGCAAAAATTTGCATATAGTTGATGCCCATTATATCACACACACACACACACACACACACACACACACACACACACACACACACAAAAGGTCACCCCCAGTCCCGCAGCATGGTGGAAGTAATGTCATGACCCGGGAAGTCCCGCAGAGGCAGGTTGGGGTAAGTGTAGTGGCCCGTGCAACAGATGACGGCGTCAAACACGTGCGTCTCCTCCTTCCCGTCCAGCTTCTCCGTCACCACCTCCCACTTGCCTCGGTTTGACGCTCTTCACCGAAGTCTGGAGGAGTGACGTGCGTATGAGGAAGCCATTGATCCAAGTAACCGAAAAAGCCAGCAAGCAAGCAATTTTTTTTTTTTTTTACCTGGAAACGGATGTGCTGCAGCAGTTTGAAGTGTTCGGCGTACATGCGGAAGTAGTTGAGGATTTTGGAATGGTGCATATAATTGGGAAAGTCGGCCGGGATGGGGAAGTCGCTGAAGCTCATCATCTCCTTGGAAATGTTGATGGTGAGGGAGCGATAGATGCTGGCGCGGTTGGGCTCAGACACCTCCTGTAGGGGGTGAACCACATCGGTGTAAAAAAAAAGCCTCCCTTTTGCTTTTTCTATCAATAAATAAGACATTTATTGTATTACTATACCATACATATAGATATAAACATGAACCTCGTCTAAAAGTCTACCACTGCCCTGTTGGCCCCTCCCTCTTTACGTCCCTGCCGCAACGTGAGCAAAATAGTTAACCTTGTGAAAAACGGTTGAGAATTGAGCAAGTTGTGACTTTAAGCTCTCAATCAGCTGCAGTAATAGGAACTTTGGATTCGGTTTTGTTGTTTTTTTGGGAGAGGACAAAGCATTTATGCCTTTAAGTATGGTTTTATTTTGTCACTCTGACTGTGTTGCTCCATATATCTGTTCCTTATACAACCTACATAAACATGATTTTCAAAAAGAGTTGCAACACTCCAAGAGCAAAAATCTTCTTGTTTTGAGGGAAAATGTTTTTTATTAAAAACTCACTCAGAAGTTAATACAATTACAATTGATTTCTATGTTTTGTTTTGTTTTGAAATGTCCTCACCTTGAACTTCCATAGTCCTCCAAGGTCGTCGCTGCTCTCAAAACAGGTTGGATGCAAGTCTTCATCCAAACAAGACTTGACTGCGCTCAGACCCGACGGGCCTGCGCCGATCACTGCCACTGTGCGCACCATGTTGGAGCTATGACTAAAAAAAAAAGAATAATAATAATAATAATAATAGATAAGATTCTTGCATTGTAGTGAAGCAATTATAAGTGTGTGTATGTATGTAAATGTAATCATTAGAAAAATAGCACTGTGCAATGTTCTAAAAACATACGATGACATAAATTAATAGAATATAAAGATGAAAGAACTTTTGCCACATATTTTGCTTCAATTCAATAGACATTGCGCCACTCCTTATGGCGTGCCCGTGATGGCCACCTGGGGGCAGTATAATACAGACATCTTCTTCACCGAGGATAAAGAATACATGCCTGTGAGATGTTATGTTGTCCTTTGTACGTACACTATGTTAGTCCACCAGTTGTGTTCAAATATCTTTAACTGAACCCATGTGAATCGACAGTACACCTAACCGATCCTTGATCACTCATGATAGATGAAAATCCGCAGGAAAGTGCATCACAATTATTAAACGCTTTAAAACAGTCATTAGACACATATTGGAAAAGTGATTCAGCTTGCATGACTGTCCGTGTTTTATGGTATGTGTTGTGTTATATTATTTTGTTCTTTGATGTTAACTGTTTTGTAAAGCGCTTTATCACAGCTGCAGCTGTTGCAAAAGCGCTCCCTAAATAAAGATGTACTGTATTGTATTGTCTTGAATGCATATTTGAAACCAAAAATAAGAGTTTGCAAGCATGACAAGAATAGAAAATCGAAAAAAAATCCATCGGTGAACATCTGTGATATACATTTGTTTTGATATTCAAAGCCTTGAAATGCAGCACACTGTGGTTTCATTCAACACACGTTTCGACACATTGTTAATGTGTACACAAGAAAAGTGCGTCGACCAGAAAATACCGCATTTGAGCAGGTGATTATAGTATAACTTTTAAATTATGTTCCATCCCAAAAGAACACCTCTTTCATGTGAGTGCCTTTATTTTAGCGGTGCACGGGCACAAAATAATATCCAAGAGAAACAGCTCTCAGTATGCAAACTACAACCGCATTTTTTCTCTTGGATTGGATCATCTTGCTCAAAATACAATTGGTACATAAAGCACGCAAATTATTATTTTAACCGTGGCTATATGTGAGTGTGGGGCGTTCGGGGAGGGGAGCCCTACCTGGACAGAATGGAAGTCCAAACAACAGCTGAAGCCAAATGGAGACGTTACACTGATGTGATCGCCCAGAAGGGTCCGAAAGTTTTGTTTTTATATTAAACACAAACAGGCACACACACACACACACACACACACACACACACACACACACACACACACACACACACACACACACACACACTTGACCCAATCACAAACAGTCTCTGGTTGTCATTGACTTTTAAGGTTCGGTTATCATCTCCTGTAGCAGATTACACATTCAGTACAGGGGGGGGGGCTAAAAGAAAATAAATAAATAACTGCGAGGATCGTGCACACTCTCACACACACACACACACACACACACACACACACACACACACACACACACACACACACCTGCACACACACACACACACACACAGACACAGACACACAGGTTTAATTTTCCGGATTCCCTGGCAAGTTTTATGAATGCCACATGAATAACAAAGCGTACTGAAGAGGACTAACCCAGTTTGAGTGGGCGATGCAAAAATAATTCAGTCTTAGGCCCACCACAATCAATGATTTTGCAAATCGACTAGTCACCGATAACAGTGGCAATTAGTCGATTAATCGGATCATCTGTAAATTGCAGCATAGTAAATTCGAAACACACTTTGTCTACACACTGCGTAGTGAATATAATAAACATTTATACTAGATTCATTGCCGACACAGTAAGCAAGTGGGATGGCGAGAATTTATCATGGCTCTGAGTACCAGCGACTAAATTTGTATTTTGTCGGTCTTAAACTTTCTGTCACAAAACTTTTTGTAAAGACCGTTTGTCCCTGTCTATGTTTGTGGGATCCACCCTTATCCGGATTATTCCGGATCGCAACAGTCTTGGGGCTGCACTGCAACTCAACATTAACAACAACAAAAAAAAAATCAATTCAGTGTTTGATTCAGGTTTCATAATCGTCCCTTTCAAGCTTCAAAAAAACTGTTTGCTGCCTACCAATTTTGCAACACTGCTTCAATGTCAACAAGCAAGCCTTGGGCCGGAGAAAAATATGCTTAAAAAAACTGCAACGCCCAAGATGCCAAATACTGATGGCGTCAGGTCTGTCTGGATAACAACTGCAACAAAATATTTTTTAAAAAGAAGAGTACAGTGACTTTTGAGACCTCATTCATCGCCATCGATGGCCGTAGAAGTCAAAGGTCCACGGTTTGACCGATGGGCTGGAGGTGAATGGGTTTGAATATTTGCTCAATTTGTTGCGTAATTCGGTCCAGACTTTTGCTCCACTTTTTTTTTTTTGGCAACAAGACAATTCAACTGTTACGATGAGCTCAATGGACACGATGGCTCACTGGAGAGAAGCTCATCAGGTCAAAAGGACACCAAAGAGAAGTTGTACAACTGGAGGGTACAAAAATATGTCGTTTCAAGCTTGACAAGCAATGAATAGAACAATACTGAAGGAATTAATCGTCCGGCACTCAAGAGCCCCTGTCCAATCTGTTTTATATGTCATACAGAACAATCGGTTTAATTCTCCTCCCCGATTCGGTCATCTCCATTGATTCATCTTACTTTTTAGCATCTCATCCCTGCCCTTATCTCCTGCTCTTGATTTTTAACAGAACCCAACACATAATGGTAGATATAGACCGGCCCAAAAGTTTATGAAAAAAATCAAATAAAAATAAAAACTCATTGGCAATTGGTTACTGGTCATGAAATTTAATTCTCCTTTTTGCCATAAGAACACTTAATAGAAAAAAAAGGCCAAACGGAAAATGACTTGATACGACTCATCACTGAAAACTGTTTCGCATTCAAGATTATTTACAGTCATAACAGCAAAACGGATGAGCTGCATGTCAAAACAAGAACCCTGTTGTTTCTAAATTATGGATGACACCAAATACTGTACAGAATGGCAGATGTAGCAGAAATCAAAGGTTAAAAAAAAAAGACATACTCCATTACTTATCTAGCAGTCACACTTTTAATGTTTTCCGGGATTATACTCATCCACGTTGAAGCATGAAACCACACCCACTAGAAAACGACCCACAGCCTGAGTCAAAGGTAAAAAAAAAAAAAAGACATACTCCATTATTTATCTAGCAGTCACACTTTTAATGCTTTCCGGGATTATACTCATCCACGTTGAAGCATGAAACCACACCCACTAGAAAACGACCCACAGCCTGAGTCAAAGGTAAAAACAAAAACACACCCAAAAGAAATTTGTTCATGCCCCTTGCACCTCATGACTTAACAGTCTGAATGTATTCTGAGTGTATTTACAGTATGTGCTGCACAGCAAAACAAGAACCTTAGTCATTTGTGAATTACAACAGAACCATAGCATTAAGTAACCATAGAGGCACAATTAAAAAAAAAAAAATGGACCAGACTTAAAGTAACGGAATGCACCAACAACACCCTCGTGTGGGACAATAAATATTTCACAGGATCCACAGTAGAGCAGCTACAATAAAAACAAGAGAATGCGATTCCTGTAGAAACTGTGTGTGAATGCTGAAGAGGCGAGACTGATATCTAATAAATATAATAATTTGCGATTAATAAAACGGTGCAAATTTGGAATGTGACTCTGGAAAAAAGCTATTCAGGATCTCCTGAATTTTGTGAATATTTTGAAATTGGAATGCTTTGAATCATTTGAGAAATGTGGAACGAGTGTCGAAAAAGTGTGTCACTGCTCTTCAGCATTTCCACAATAACAACAATAGTGAGTCTGATTGTTACGCAGTGTGTCCCAGCAGCGCCTGCAGGCTCTGAGGAGAGAGCCAGAGTGCCTCCAGCAGGTTATACTGGCAGTAGCCCATCCAGAAGCCAAAAGCCACGTCTGTGACATTGTGGCGGCCCAACATGACGCGGCTCAGCCCCACCGTGGCCGCCCACAGCAACACCAGGACCCGCAACGGAGCGGCCAGCACCAAGTGAGCCAGCAAGAAGCGGGCGCACATGGCGGCACGGGTGGCGTGACCCGACGGGAAGGAGTAGCGGTCCACCGAGAAGGTGGCGAACATGTCCATGCGGTTGTGGGCCGGACGTCGCCGACGCACTGTCGCCTTCACCACGGCAACGAGGACGAGATCCAGCAGAAGACCTGGAGAATGATCATAGAGAATCGATTGCGAAATGTGGAAGTAGGATTTATATTTGTCTGTGGAATTTGAGTAAATGCCCCAAATATTTGAAATACAAAATGGTTTTAAAGCAGTTGTGAAATGTGGAAGGATGCGTTCATTTCAGTGGGATTTATTTCCATGAAAAATGTGGAATTGTGTGGAAATGGTTGCCAAAGACGTCCTTAATTTTAATACCAATAAATGTTTAGTTCCCAAATTGTTTTTAATCACTTTACTTTGGAAGAGGTACGGTATTACCCATGAGGAGGTTGAGCATGACCTCCTGGCCGGCAGCAGTGTCACTCTTGTAGAGGCAGTAGGCGGTTCCAGCCAGCCAGGGGATGCCGTGGCCCGTCACCTCGATGAGCTTCATGAGGGGCCGCGCACTCCCCCACGACGAGTCCTCCCGGGCGCACACCCCAATACTCTTGGACAGCCACAGGTCGATGGCGAGCAGCGAGCTGAGGGCCACGCGGAAGAGCGACGGGTTGAGCCGAATGCCGTCTTCCTCCGGTGGCCCCGAACCGGTGGACGAGCTGGAGCCGCGGCGACGAGTGGGGCTCTCCGAGGCGCGGAGTCGCGCGGTGGCCGTGTCGGAGCTCTGCCGCTGGAGGAGATGAGGCGGCGTCGAGGACCGGCTCAGCGGCTTGGTGAGCGACATGAACTCGTAGCGGCCGTTGTTGGTGCCGCCAAACACCGGGCTCCCCCCGCAACCGCTGCCGGCGCGGCCAGGGGTTTTCGCCTTAGGTGAAGACATTGTGTCGGCTAGTGTCGTTGCGGCGACCTGGCACCGCAGTAAAAACGTTTCCGCAGTGTCGTGGAGGTTGTCTCCGGTTTATTTCGTCGCCCGCAAAGGTTCGGTATTCATATCACGTAGTGAAACCCTAGGACGCCATATTTGTTGTTCTATCGCAAAGCCTGCTGGGAAGTTGTGTTTTTCTGTTCAGTCAACGAGCCATATTTGTTGTTCTATCGCAAAGCCTGCTGGGAGGTTGTGTTTTTTTCTGTTCAGTCAACGAAAGACAAGACAGCATGTCAAATGTTTGCTTCCTTCTTAATCTTTCCCTTCTCTTTCACGATTTACTTCCTTTCATATCATCCCTTTTACCATCCACTTCATGCACTACCTTACTTTCATACATCGATGTTTTCTTACTTCCATTGTTGCTTTCACACCATCCTTGTTTTCCTCATTTCGGCCTTCCAGTCTTTCCTTTATTATTCCTTTGCTTCATTTCTGCCGTTTAAACCCAAAAGGGAAAAGTATCAATGATACTGTAGCTGTCATGTTCATTTATTTTTCAATAAAGTTATGTTACGAAATAGGAAGGGCTCGCGTCCGTCCTCACCTCTCATTGGTCGACGTTAGTCTCACAAATCACGCTTAGTTCCGGGTTTCTTTCGCGCGCGGAGTTGATCACAGTCCACCAGAGCGTCTTGAGCCTACCACGCGAGGACCTTCAAAGAGAACAGGATGCCTGGAATTCTACTCGGTGACGAGTTTCCCAATTTCGAGGCCGACACCACCATCGGCCGGATTAAGTTTCACGATTTCCTGGACAAATCGTAAGTGGGACCATTCGGCTATAATGGGTGAACGCAACGCGAAACATTTTTTACGCAAGCGGTTAAAATGTTACTCAATAACCTTATTCAACAATCCTTTTCATGTGCGCATGTAGCAATAAGTAGCAATACTCTTAATACATAAAAATAAAGAGTAGCTACATCATAGACAAATGAAGAGGTGGAAATTAACGTAAGGTATTGAATTGCATTTAGTAATTATGTGGGTATTTAGGGTAGTTTTTTTCCCCCTTGCTTTTTTTTTTCAAAGTTAAAAAAATGTCACTCTTGAGTAGTTTTCTACAACCCAGACTTGTACTTCATTGTCATGAAAGTGCTTTTGCATAAGTTCAATATTTTAACGATCGTCTTTTCCGTGTATTAATATCGTTTTTTGTCAATGTGTCTCTTATTATTGTACTTAACAGCGTTTACATCATGGTGTAAATAATACCTAGTGGCGTACAAGTGTAGGCTTTAAATGGCTTTGCGGTGTGGTACAAACACTATACATTTCAAGTCTTCTATTTTCGCTTTCATTTTGACAACAGTTCAACTTGCTCACCTTGGACCAGTAATGGGCACAAGGCTTGTATTGTGTATCTCGTGTCGGAACTGGTGCGCCCGGCTGGGCTTGTTGGCACACACTTGAGGTTCCCAGACTCTTTCTGCCTGCCTAACTTCATTTACACGCATGCAAACGCAACTTATATGACAGCTTTCTAGCACCGAGACCTTCAAATCGAGAGCGTGTCTGTCGTGTGAAGTCACATGAGCATGTCATGACCCAAGGCTTGAAAAGGATAGTTGTTTCAATTGTTGCCTTGAGCCAGGAAATAAGTAGTGTTGATTTATTTATTTTGAAGTAATCTCTATGAACAAGTGTCCCATTCTAGCTTTCAAAGAAATATGCTGACGTACTAAATCTCGACAGAGAATTTAACATCTTTGTATGTCACGGAGGAGTTAAGTTTAACCTCGGTTGTTAGTGGAAGTATGGATGGTCTTCGCACCGTGTATATGCGCACTTTCAGTGCATTAAAAAAAATAAAAGCAAATAATCTGTTCACCGTTAATTTTAAGGGGTAATGAAAAACATTTTTTTTCCTTTGTTTCTCTTTTCAACGAGCAGATGGGGCATCCTGTTCTCCCACCCGAAGGACTTCACCCCCGTGTGCACCACCGAGCTGGCTTGCGCCGCCAGCCTCAGCGACAAGTTCGCCAAGCGCGGCGTCAAGATGATCGCCTTGTCCGTCGACAGTGTGGAGGATCACTGCGGATGGAGCAAGGTGGATGGCATGCACACACACACACACACACACACACACACACACACACACACACA